CCTACCCTCATCACACAGTGCTATACCAACCAACCCCAGGCCATGAGGAGAGCAAATGTCGTTTATCAGTGAATGTGGGGTAGTTTGTAACACAGAGGTGTTGCAGCAATATCTGACTAGTACAAATTCATCCACTTACCTTGTCTGGACCTCTATTTCTGCATCTATAAAACAGGGCCATTGGATTATAACTGATGACAGACAACATTTTTTTCCTGGCACACAACTAATGTCTGCATCATTATAACCAACACGACAGAGAATAAGCATGCTAGAGTCAACTACTGCAAAGCACCAGAGAAAGAGAAGGATTGGGACATACTAATTCAGGTTAAAGGGCCTTGTTGGTTGCCTAGCGGTGGTTAAGTTGGTTGGTCAGCTGGCTGACCGGTTGGTTCAATTGTTTTAAAATGGAAAAGAGTTGCTCCTACAAAGAAACTTCGCAGTGACACACGTAAGGATGATAAAGGTGAGGGCAGACAAAAATGAGCAGAATCTACAATACGTGATGTATAAGAGCAGACTAAGGAAGCTTAGCAGGATTTCTTTACAGATTTGCTACATATCATTTACATTTCAAGCTAAAGGGCCAAGCAAGTGTCACCTAAGGAAAGGAAGATCATATGAAAAAGGATGGTGCTCCTGCTGTGCAAATCAGGCTATAAAGGCAAATTGTGACAGGGAAAATTTTGAAAAAATTCTGGAAAGCCAATTAGACTTAAAGCTCAATTTATAGTGCATTTTCCAAGAAATAAGTTTTCTTTGGTTTTCAACATTTACAAGCAATAAGCATCAGGAGCTAAGAGGTAAATCAGTGACCGCCTTAGTGAGTGGCAGATCCCACTTCAGGAAGCCCTCAAGCTCTCTTTCACAGCATCAGGAAAAGATGGCAGCTCTCTGTCAAGCTATGGAACCGAGGCATGCCTGGTCCTCTTGGAAAAGATGCCCACAGTGCCCTTCACAACTGCCTTCCTTCCCTGATCCTCTGGAAACCTGCTGCATGCTGACCTCTGTCTCCACCACACAGCTGGTGAGCACCTCCAGCGTCCTCTAGGACTCCTTAGTTACCAAGACCAACAGGTGTTTTCTAAATCCACTTTAGTCAATCAAGGCCGAAGCTACCTGGTAGAAGCCCAGCACCATTCCACACAAGGCCGATTGTTTTCAACACAGCTCTGCTTGCTTCCCAAACCAAATGCATCCCTGGGAATTGTGCAAGAAATCACAATGTTTTTAAATAAATAAAAACTAAATTGACCTGATCGGGCTCTACATAATTGCTGTTGGGTATAAGCCTATAGTAAGCAGATAATGTCAATGGCTAATATTTATAGAACACTACCTGGGCCTGGCACAGCTCCAGGTCTCCCCAGGATTTAGCTCAGGTAATCCTTGCTGTGTGCCAGGAACTAGAGACTGTGATTATCCTTATATCATAAATGGGGAAACTGAGACCTAGCTTGGTAAGGGTTAGAATTTGATTCTAGAACCCACGCGCTAGACCATTACAAAAAGTGGGTAAAGGCAGATAAAAGCAAAGTGTTTTATAGGTGGTATTGAACCAGCAAACTGCTAAGTGCTTGAGAGCAAGTGGCTTCTTTTCCTAAATGGGTTCAGCTGTCATTATTGTATGTGACTGTGCCATAGGCCTTTCTTTCCTAGACAGCACAGAGGTGAGTGTCACCCTACAGCCCAGTCTAGTGTGAACTATCAAGATGAAATCTTCTATCAAGATTCAGATCTCTAGCCTGGTGTGGTGGCCCATGCCAGTAATCCCAGGACTCAGAGGCTGAGGCAGGAGGATCACTGCACATTCAAGCCCAGCCTGGGCTATGACGTGAGTTCTAGGCCAACCTGAACTGCATAGTGAGACTCTGTCAAAAAAAAGATTTAGATCTCAACTCACTGAAGTCTTATTATATAAGGGTGATCAAAAGTTATGGTGAATGCTTTTAAAAAGCATTTTTATTACAATAAAAGGCATATAGCCATGAGTCCCCTCAGAAGATGTCCCCTTGCTTCAAACATTCAATTAAACAAACATTCAATATTTATCTCATTGTTCTTGTCATTTTCAAAACATTTCTCTTTCATGGTCATCTTAATTTTGGGGGAGAGCCAGAAGTCATACGATGCCAGACCAAATCAGTAAGGTAGATGAGGACACACCGCTTTGACAGAAATTTCCATAAATGTTTTTAACCCACTCAGGACATGGAAGCAGCTACAACATTGCAGCTAAAGACACTCACAAAAGAGCACTCCCGGAGCTGCTCCAGAAAGTGGCAAGACCAGTGGGATGTGTGTTCCAAGAGAGAGGGGATGTTTTGAGGGGGGCTAATGGCAATTCATCTTGCACTATAATAATTTTTTTTAATTTGTAATTTACACATTAAGCATGTTTTTTTGCCCTGCTTTGCATACCGAGCGGAGGCTGTAGCTGCATGCAGTGGTATGCAGGCAGAACTGAACGCAAATTCTCTACAACAATATCCACAGTGACAACGAACAAGTAAGGAGCAGTGGGAGTCCACACGCCAAGCACAGGCCACACAGAGTTCTCTGTGTTGTGTTTAACTCAGTTTGGTTGCAAATCACTGATTCCTGTTACTTGATAGAACCGGCACAGTGTGAGGCCTTTAGGCAGAAGCAGAGTGAGACTGAGGCTGGCTCTTGGGCAACTCACATTCTGCAGGGGAAGCCAGGTCAGGGAGGAGGCAGAGGGACGGGAGCAGGTGCAGCAAGAAGAGCCAAGGACGCATCGCATCGGAGGTTCCCGGAGAGGCCGCTCCCTGGGTGCGGGGGAGGGGCTTTGAGTAGAGCAAGTTGAAGGTGGACGGTGCGACCCACAGAAGTAAGGAGCTGGCCGCCGGCTGGGGAGGGGCAGAGGATGCACCCACAGGGGCGTCAGGGCCAGGTCAGGAGAGCCTCCTGGGGCAAGATGGGAAGACTCGATTTCCCAGGGGCTTTTAATGCAGATGAGTGGCGAGTTTCTGCTGGCAGCCTGGCTGCAGGTGCGGGTGAGTTTCAGCAGCACAGACCGGAGGTGGGGAGATAGAGGGGCAGTTTCTGGCCAAGGGATGCTCTTGGATCCCTCAACCACAGCAGGAGGAGAATGGCCTGAAAGGAGGGATGCTCTGGGACACCTAGGAGATGAGGCCTGCTGGGCTATGAAGTAGTTGGCCATGAGCTGAGAAAAGGGAAAGAGAAGGGAGAGGAGGGGAAGGAAGAAAAGCAGGGAGAGAGGAGGGGAGGAGAAGGACAAGGCTGATGCCCAGTAGGACCCCTGGGTGGCAAGGTGGTCCACAGCCCCAGTGCTGAGAACCAGACGCCATGGGTCCTGCCTCACCAAAGAGGAAGCTAGGGCTGGGATATAACTCAGCAGCACAGTGCCTCCCTAGCAATAGTGAGGTTGTGAGTTCAATCGCTAGTACCAAAAACCCAAAACAAAACCAAACCAACAACAACAAAGAGGAAACTAGCAAGGCCGGACGGCTTCCCCAGATCCTCAGCAGAAAAAGCGTGTCTGAGCGCACTCTGGAGACCTGGCTGGTTCCTGCCACACCTTCCTCCTGAAGATTCCTCTGCCTCCCGCTGCAGGGCCCTGAGGCGTGAGGTGTGGCTACCCATTTGCCCTCGCTGGGTGCACAGGGGGTTAACTGTCTGCAGTGCACAAGCAGCGCTGCGCATTTTGTTTTTGCTGCTTCCCAGCCTGGGGACCCCACTGTCTATTGATTTATGAAGGCAGGAAGGCATCGCATGAGACATTTTCCACATCTCGGGAGCCTAAAGTAAATTGTGCATTTATTGACAATAAGAGGGTGAGGGTTAGCTAAAATGTCAGGTCTCTGCTCTGGAGTGGAATTATAACTTAGTCCACTACTGCTGGTTATCTCATTGATCAGTTCTTCTCATCGGCAGAGCTTCCAATCAGCTATCTTTTGAATAATTAAGATGAGAAAAATCAATCAATCACCACTTACACATACACTGTGGCTGGGTTGATAGAACACAGGACCCGCAGGGAAAGTAGCATAAACAGAGGCAGTTGGTGAAGAGCTGGGATCCCAGTGCTTTGAACAGGAGGACTGACGCCCAGTCCAACATCACCACAAGTGCCTGTTCTTTGCTGCTTCTCTGCTAGGGTTGGGCATCTCATCTCCTCTGTGCCCACTGGTGTCAGGAGACCGCATGCAGGCTCCAAGTGCTCTCTGCACTGTGAGTATGACGTATCTGCTAAATGCCTGCAACCTGCACTCTATCCCTTTCTCCAATGTAATTACCTTACCTCCCTGAATTCAGAGAAATGTTATCTGCATCCCAGCAATGAAGTGGACCAGCACACAGTTTAGGAAACCTTTGACTTTCAATGAAATAGTAGGCATAGTGCTGCACGCCTGTAATCCCAGCACTCAAAGAGGCTGAGGCAGGAGGATCACTGTGGGTTCAAGGCCAGCCTGAACTGCATAGCATGACCCAGTCTCAAAAAAGAAAAAAATTAAAAAATAAAGACCCAACAAGTACATGAACTAAGAAGTGATTGATATACTTTTTCAATAAGCTGTATTCATGACATTGTGCTAGGTGCTGAAAACACAGCGCCCCTGGTGTGCCAATTGGGGAGAGATTGAGCTTCTATCCCTTGCGTGTGCATGCGTACACACATGCACACACACACACAACAACAATCGTCACTTTCTTAGCTACTTGTGGTACAACCATGACTGTTGATATTTACTGAGCAGCTCCTATGGGACAAGGCCCTGACTGGCGTAAGATCCAGACCCTGCCCTCTGGGCTGTGCAGTCAGATCAGGAAGGCAGGACCCATGTGCAAAAGCAAATAATGCAGTCAGGTGCCAAGACTGCACGGAAAGGAAAAAGAAAAAAACACAGAGGAGGTGGGGCTTGCAGAGGAGCTGCTTCAGGGAAGAGTGACATTAGGTGGAGCTTTTGAAGAAAGGTCAGAAGGTAGTGAAACTGACATTGGAAGGTAGTGAATGTGGGCCAGTCAGGCGGGGACTGCTGCTCGCAGAGCAGGGACATAGGTCCGCTGTGTGTGTGGGGGGGGGGGGGTAGCAAGGGACAGGCGGGAGGAGTGTTCCAGCCACTTTCTCATCCGCCTGTGCAAGCAGCAGAGCCCCTCCCCTGGGTCCCTGTGAGCAGACCTCTGGGGCCAGGTTTTGGTGGAAGCCAAAATTTGTAGAAATTAGCTTGTTGTGGGGGGAATCTTCTCTGAGACCATTTTTTTTTAGATTTTTAGAGAAAAAATGGGGGCAACTCCTTCCTGGGATGGTGTTTAGGAATTGGCTGTGGACTAAGGCAACCCCTCAGAAGCACACCACGGCAAGGACATCCAGGAGGCAGAGGACAGTCCTGATGGACGGCCTGGTGCTGGACTCTACACTGAGGCCACAGACACAGAGAAAGCCAAGGGTTTCCGGAGAGCTGCCAGGAGGTCGTGCAACTCCACTTCTGTCTGACAAACCAGGAACAAGGTGGTCCAGGCGACAAGTGTGAGTATCTGCCGCCGTCCCTTCTCTCCCGTCTCATCCCCACGTCAGCTGCTCCTCACCCCTACCGGGGAAATGAGTGTCCCTGAGGCCAGCAGATTCCTGCAGTGGGCCTCACCACCAGTGGCAAAGGGCCGCCGATGAGATCTGTTCAGATGGTATTGGGAGTGGGAGAAGAGGTCATTCAGTAGCTTTATTTGGGGGCAGGCACCTCCTCCCTGGGGAAGAAGCACCAAGCCTGTGTATGAGCAGCTCCAGAAGGCACAGGCATAAATCTGATGGTTTGCTTTGTTTGTGTGACAAAAGAGATTTTATTCTTTTTTCTTTTTTGTAGTTGTGGGGATTGAGCCCTGGGTCTTCACACTAAACTACAATGCCAGCCCTTTTTAAAAATTTTTTGAGACAAGATCTTGATAAATCACTGAGTTGCCCAGGCTGGGCTCAAACTTGTAATTATCCTGCCTCAGCCTCCCAGAATGCTAGAATTAGAGGCATATGCTACCATGCTTAGCTCAAATGAAATTCTTCCTTCATTTCTGCCCAAAGAATAGATACAGCCTAATTCTTTGCTAGATAAGAAAAGGTATAATAGAGTAGCTCTACTGGTTACTTTAAAAGAATCATAAACTCAATTGAGTAGCCTCCTTCAGTAGAATTCATGAGCTTCGAGAAAGGGTTCACTGGCCCTTGGAGTAAATGACTGCCTTCCGTATTATTATTTATTTGTTAGTTTTTTTGAGCCAGGGTCTCACTATGCAGTTCAGGCTATGTACTTGAAGTTGACCTTAAATTCATAGTGATCCTCCCATCTCAGCCTCCCGAGCGCTGGGATTACAAGCATGGGCTATCACGTCAGACTTTGCCTTATTGTTTTATAATCATATTTAATTTTGGATTGCAAATAATATTGCCCAGTTTGATCACCTATTTGCAAAATTTGGGCTGTTATTAAAAGTCAGTCTATCCTCAACCAGGTATAGTAGTGCACACCTATAATTCTAGCACTTGAGAAACTGAAGCAGGAAGGTTCCCACAAGTTAAAGACCAGCCTGGGTTACATGGTGAATTCAAGGCCAGTCACGAGTACATAGTGAGACCTTGTCTCAAAAACAAACAAACAAACAAAAAAACCCAATAACAACAATCATGGATCCTCCACAAAGTTTTGTCACTGTCAGGGCTTTCAGGAGACCACAGGCAGACACCCAGCTGCCCCTGCAAAAGTCCTAAGGATGTGTGTCCCAGCAGATCTGCAGCAGGGCTCAGCTGATCGGGAAGACACCTTTGAAGGTCACAAAACGCATTTGGTTGTGTGAGTTCTGATGCGTATGCTAAAATCATCAGTCACGTTACTTTACAGTCACACCTCGTACTCTTGTTCTGGAAAATCAATAAAGTGAGGAGAAGGACAGGGAGATGGTGTGTAACTATTTAAAAGAGAGAAAACAAAAAAAAAAAATTCTGGGGAAATGGTCCTGGAGGAAGTACAGACCTAGTTTTTCTAAGGAGGCTCAATTTTATCTGCAAGCTCATCACTGACTTATTAAACTAAAGTACCCCTGGAATCCTAGGCAAAAATACATTAAAAAATTTAAAAGGGGGAAAGAGAGCACATCATTCTTCCAGGTACTCATTGGAAATTGTGTGTCCTTTAAGATGCCTTTCTAAACTGTGTCTATTATTCACGCTGTTCATGTTTTGTTCCATCCAACATTACAAACTCTGATGCCACTAAGAACCTGCTCCCCCCACCCCATTCTCCTCTGCACAGCCTTCCTCCCTGAGCTCCAGGACCCTTCTGCTTCCCAAGGTCACTCGGCCTGGCTGGTGACCCACAGGCCAAGGGCTGGGCTGGAAATGGGGGGGCAAGAGTCGTCCACTAAGCTGCACCGTGGCTCCTGGACACCTCCTGCTGCCCACCTCGGGACAGTCTGGTGGCCCCAGTAACTGCTGCCAAGAATGATTCGGGTGCCCTGGGGAGAAGGAGAGCAACTGTTCATGGACCACTTGTGTCGCATCCAACTTGCAGCCAGTGTTGGTGTAGATGCACCAATGGGTCTCCATCAACAAACTCAAAGCCATTGATCCTGGTCTAGGTTCGCCAATCAGCAGTGAACTGCCACATCAGCCATAAGCTGCTTCTGTGACTTTCCTGAGGGACTTGAGGGCCCTTCCTACACCTGGCCACACAGCTGTGAGCCTCTTTTTCTCTACTGTCCAACTCGGAGCCCAGTGTCCACCAGCCCTGCTTTGGCCTCTGACCCCTATTCTCCATGTCTTGAAGAAAACATGATACCAACCCTTGGAAACTCAGGTCTGGAAAGGGATCACTTGTAACGTTGGGATTCTTCTGGCTGTTTGTTTTATGGTACCGGGGATTGAACCCAGCATCCACCAAGCTACATCTCTGCGTATTTTGAAATTTAAAAATTTTAACACAGTGTCTTACTAAATCACAACTTAGCACAAGCTGGACTCAAATTTGAGATCCTCCTACCTCAGTTTCTCATTATCCTTCTGTTTTGTTTTGTTTTTTCACTGGCACCAGGGATCGAACTCACAGGCAGGCGCTTATGCCACTGAGTTAAATTCTGAGCCCCATCCCTCTGTTTTTCAGTTCCTATATTTCTGTCACACCACTTACTTCTCCTTTTTATTGTTTATTGTTTCATTTTGTCTTGTTGAGATAGAGTCTCATTATGTAGCTCAGGCTGGCCCTGAACTCATAATGGAACCTTGAACTCGTAAGGATCTTCCTGCGTCAGCCTCCAAATACTGGGATCACAGGCGTGTGCTGCCACGCCTGGATCATGACTGACTTTTTTTTCATGACTGACTTTTTAAGGGAGATCTCCAATTGATCTTGCCCTCCTACCATGGCCCTCTGTAGAGTGACTTTATAAAGGTATCTGGGGACATCTTTATAAAGTTAACAAAGATCAGCAGGGCTCTTCAGAGCTTCTCAGCACTCTTGCTATACTGTGATTCTCCAAGAAGAGCCTGCCTGGGACCTAATTTCACACTTTTAGGAACAGAATGTGGGAAATGAATGCCAAAGTGGTCATCAGTCTACAAATACTCGCATTCTGAGGCTGGACACGTGTTCCTGCCACCTCTGGTTTTACCAGGGGACCCAGTCTCATGCCTTGGAACCTGTTGGACATTGGTTTTAGGGCCCCCAGGGACACCAAATCCCAAGGATGCTCAGGTCCTTTACATAGAAGGGACGGTGTTTGCATATTGCTGTGCATATCCTCCTGTGAATTCTAAATCATAGCTCAGCTCCTTTAATCCCCTGCATGGAGGAAATGCTATGGAAGGAGTGGCTACACGGTATTGTTTAGGAGACAATGGCGGAGAAAGGGCTCAGGGCAGATGTGTACACCGCAGCTCCTGCCACCTCATCAGCATGGGGCCAGCTGTGATGCGGTGGGAGGACCCAGCAGCTGATGTCCCCACGTCACCCACTGCAGTGAATTCACTATAATGCTAAGCATGAGGGAAACTCCAGTTTTGCTTTTCAGAACTTTCTGGGATTTTTTTCAAATATTTCAGTCCATGGCTGGTGCCCTCTAGGCATAGACTGTGCAGGTATGGAGGGCTGACTGTACCTAAATGGCTTCTCACTCTGATGAGCTCAAGATTTCTCACCCTGGTTCCAATGTTCCACCTCAGCAGTTTCTTTAAATATGATCTGGGAATAGATGTGACTCTAGAATTGGAATTGAGGTCTCCCACACATGAAGCAAGCTCTCTTCTGAGAAAGAAACTTCCAGATATAGCAGAGGGCTTTTCCAGTATGGTTTTTCTTTTTTTCTTTTTTCTTTTTGTTTGTTTTTTGTCTTTTGAAACAGGGTCTTGCCATGCCATTCAGGCTGATCTTGAACTCACTTTGCAACCCAGGATGATCTCGAACTCACAGTGATCCTCCTGCCTCAGCCTCCCAAGTGCTGGGATTACAGGTGTGTGCCACCACGCCCGGCTTCAGTATGGTCTTAATAATCCCAGCCACACAGTTATTGTGTGCAGAACCAGGAGATGAACCCCAGAACACTCCATTACTGAATTTACTCCAAACCTTTTTATTTTTATTTGAGACAAAATCTTACTAAATTGCCCAGGTAGAAATTGAATTTGTGATCATCCTGCTTCATCCTTTCTCTGTGCTGGAGTCATAAGCATGTGCCACTGTGCCCAATTCTGATTTTAATGTTCCAATTTGATCAGGATATTATCTCACTCTGGTCCCTATTTTAATGCTAAACTGATCTGTACCTCTAAGTCTTGGTACCTGTGCTTTGAGGGAAGGCTGGCATTAAAGCCTTTCCAACCTCCCTAGTACCTTAGTCACTTTCCCAGAGCAGAGACAAAATGCTCAACACCTTGAAGGAGGAGAGGCTTGTACTGGTTCATCTGTGATCAGCTGGCACCAAGATAAAAAGGGTATGAAGGCAAGATCTGGCACAGAAAACCGGTCACCGCGTGTAACCAGAGGAGGAGCAGAGAACAAGGGAAGGAGCCAGGGACAAGAGAACACTCTTGCAAGTCACTTACCTCCCGTCCACACACCAGTGACCCGCAGCCAGCCTGTCTCCACCTCCTAGCCAGCGCATAAAGCTACTACTGAATCCTTGGATGAGCACAACGCACCATAACCCAAACAGCTTCCAAACACCTGAGATGTTGGGGGGCGTGGCAGATCTAAACTGTGACACCCAGACAACTTCTCAGCCTCTAATACATCCACACACTCAGCTGCTGAGGTGGCATCACTGCCTTTCTCAACATCTCACCAGCCGGGAAGTGATTCCCCCCCACCCCATTCCCGGACATTCTGCCCACAGGCAGAAGCCTACTAGCTCAAGGCTCCATTCCCACAGCGTGACACCGCTTTCCTCCTCACCACAAGAAGGCGATTTGCCACTCCTTTGTATCAAATTGTTCTTCCTTTTGCTAAGTACTCACACTGAAGAAATATAAAGGATGCAGAGAGACTGAAAGAAAAAAAAATAACCCATAACCCTGCCACTGAAAGAATCCCACTCTTAATATTTGGACTATTTCCTAATACTTGTTCTCAAGGAATAAAGAAATCTTTATCCTCTCAACAGGAATCCTGCTGGCAGATCTTAGGCATTACTTGAAAGTGTAAACGCGCTAGTACTTCAGGTCACGGTAAGGAATATTTGACTCCTGCAACTTGTTTCTTGGAATAAGAATTTCAAACCATTTTATACAGAAAAATTGGAGGGGGTTGCCTTTTTTTCCCTACCGCTAAAAATCAAATGTAGGGCCTCATGCATGCTAGGCAAGGGCTCAACCACTGAGCTACATACATCCCCTCCTGAAAAATGAGTTTTTGAAATGTTTTATGTGGTATGTTCACCATTTATCATGTGCTACATGACATTCTAGCCAACACAATCTCCATCTGCAATTCCATCTCCAACCTCAGTGGCACAGCCCTGACCACCGGGTGACCACACATGAATCCACCTCAATGATCATCACTGAAAAATGGCATCTAATGCAGTGTGGAGAAAACGATCAAATAGACTTCATCTTGTTTATAACAGTCACTTTTTAAGTGAAAGGAGTTTTTTTCCTTCTTTCCAAATTCATGCAATCAGTTAATAGTTAAGAAGTGATTATTAAGCCCATGCCATGGTCTCCACTCTGCAAGGTGAGTGAGGACACAAGATTAGCCTATGTGGGACAACTAGAAAGGCAGACAGCGGGCTTTCAGACAAAGGGTGAGTAGGACTGGAGAACTGGGAAGAAAGCCTGGGAGTCATGGGGCTAGACGGAGCCTTCAGCCAACATTCATTAGGGACCCACTAGTGCCAGGCATTGGAGGGAACAGGACGAGAGAGCTGACACAAGCAGAGGAGACAGGGGGCTTCTAGGTTCCTTTGGGAAACAGGAAATTGTTCCCTGAGGGGAAGCCCTGGGCTTAGAACTAAAGGAAAGCTCAGAGGAAGGGGCAACCAGGACCAGCTATGAACAGCAGTGTGTCAGCCTCGCACTGTGCGCAGTTCCATTTGCGTACCATGTAGGACGTGAGTGACAGCAAGGGACACAGCACCACAAGAGGGGCTGGGTCAAGCCAGAAGCTCTAGGAATGAGCTGATGAACGTGGACTTCTTAGCTTGACTCCATCAGCCACACGCTGCAGCTCAGACCTTGGAGCCCTGGACTTGGAGGGGACTGTGATGAGAGAGGGGGTCTTGCCCCCTCCTTAAAGAGACAATAGGCTTAGGGACCTGATGCAAACTTGAAGTCTCTGATGACTCTACCTGCCCAGTATTTAGGGTCCTCTCAGCAACCTAGGGCCAGGTGTAACTCTCGAAGCAAAGACAAGTGTGTTGGGACTTTTAGAATCCTTCTCCCTCTGCGATTTCTCCAAGTCTCTAACTGGAGCCCCTCTTAGGAGACCTTACAGGGAGAACCCCAGGGAGGCCTTACAGACTTCAAGCTGGAGCTACTGCTCAGCTGCTGCCTGAAGCAGAAGTGTGGGGGGCCCAAGAACAGCAACCTTGGCCTTGGATCTAGGGAGGGACCCAAGGACACCAGAGCCCAGAGCGGCCACTGCCATGGCCACGCTCTCCTGCAGCCCTCCCCCATGTCGGGAGCCTCTCAGACACTGAACTCCTTCCAGAGGCTCCGGATCCCCTCCTGCCTGGGCATCTGACCCTCATCTCCTGTTCCCTGACCTTGTGCCAGGGCCTCCCACAGCGCCAGGCACATATTAACAGGTCAGTAAATATCTTTGTGATAACAAATAGCCTCGAAGCTCACTTCCTATTCACCACCTGTGCTTTGTGCCTCTATCTTAATCTCTGTGTCTTTGAACCCAGTTATGAATATGGCCCCAGGAACAGATTATACACACACAGCTGCTTGGCTGGAGGGGCGGTGTCCCTGCGTCTCTGCTGAGAGCCGGTTGTAAACACTCAGTGACAGCAGCTTATCAGTCAGGATGCAGGCCCCTTTCCACCATTGGAGCAACGTTAACAGAGTGCACGGTTCACTCATTCACTCATCAAACATTTATTGAGGCCATTCCGCATGTCAGGCACAGAACTGGCAGTTTAGAATACAGAAATGAAAAGGACTCAATAAAGACAGAGGCAAAATTACAGGAAAACGCACAATGCGAACACCGCTTTTGTGATATCCCGGAGGTTTAGACAGACACACTTTGAGAACCATGATGAAAGGTTAAGCTATTGATGAGAAAGTAATATGATAAACATATTAGTAAGAAATTAAAAATAAATGTGCCAACCTAAATCACTAAGGATTTCTTCCTGCTTTCATTTCGTGCTGGCTATAGAACCCAAGGCCACATACATGCTAGGCACACATTCTACGCCAGGGCTACACTCCAACCCAGGACCTCGCTTCCTCTTCCTTGGGGGTCTACATGCACCCACCACATGTCAGGTGCTGTGCTTTGGGCTTCACCAGGTGTAGGAAGAGCCTGAGATGGACGATTGCGGGGGGGGGGACCACCATTTGCTCAGTTTTCCGAGTGGCTGCTTTCAGTGCCAGGCAGGCTATACTGAGATAGTAAAGTTCAAAAGATAATTAAACCAGTTAAAAAAGCAAAACAGCACTGGGACTGAAGCTGAGTTTCAGAGCCAATTTCCAAGAAGTAATTTCATCATCATAGAACATCAAACGTGAATTCCACTTTCAGCTATGCAAATTCCTAAAGAATAATACCTCACATTTGCATAATGCTTGATGCTTTTCAAAGTGCTTTCCCAGTTATTAATCTATGGGAGGCTTTGTTACCACTGGAAACATAAATTGAAATTCTGCTCCAAGTCCATTCATTTTTCCACTTTCCCCTCAAAATCCAGAGCCACCTAAATCCAGGTGCTTTTGATTGAGTCACTCTGCTCAGTGCAGGGGACAGGGTAGATACGTACAAATGCAGCACACTGTGAGGTCTTCGATCTACAGACACTATAGAGCCAGGCTTAAGAAAATCTGCTGTTGAATTAACAAAACCACAGGGGAGAAACTTGTAGTTCAAGTTTGAGATTTTTTTTCAGGATCTCAAACTCCATGTAAGCTTCACGCACTCTGCTCGCCGAAATCCATTTCCTTCTGTCAGATATTAGGAAATTAGTTCTAGCACTTTGCTCTTAAACCTACAGAAATCCCTGTTAAAAACTTCCCACGAAGTGGCCCATGATTGCCAAATGGCTGCTACATCTTTTCTGTTTTTAATGTAACATGAACCAAGAGGCTACATGTGCTGTAAATCCAACATGGAGAGAGGATCTTAGCAAAATGAGATGAGAAGATATGACAGGGTATGAGGAAATACTTCTACCCAAAGCTAATGCCTTTCCAATTTTCTTTTTCTATCTCTTTCAAACTTAATTATGTGTAGCGTCTCAGCCACTGAATCACCAGCATTTCCTGACACTTCACTCTCATGCATTTTAGCAAAAGATTAACCTGACTGTTTGCTTTTAATTCTGAAGCTGTGTTAATACTCAACTCCCTCTAGATTAGAAAAGAAGAAAAACACACTCCCGCACACCTGCCCTGGCACCAGGAAGGCTCCACAGCTGACATTTCTGCCCAGGCCACAATGCATGGGGCTAGCCACACTTACCACTTCAGGAGGGCCACGAGAGCCACAGACAGGGCCACTGCCACCATGAGGCCATTGACTTGCAGTTTGAGAAAGTCCAAGACTTCCATGGCTCCCCTGAGACCCCAGATGTGTCAGATGTGAAAGAGGGTGGCTGATGTCCCTGCCCCTAATTGAGCTCTGATCTGCAGGCAGAGGAGGAAGATACAGGCAGCCACGAGCACGTCACCTCAAGTGAGTCCCCAAAATGTGCTCTTTCTCAGAAAGTGACTTTATAAAGAGGAAGGAAGAGGAGGGGAAAACAAAGGGTTTCAGGGCAAGGCAATGAATCAGCAACTTTATCTTCTTGATGACTGTGCTGTCAATAAACATTTATGTTAACTTCCCTGGGAAGTAACAGCAGACAGACAGGGCCCTATTAGCTAAGAAACTGAATCGTTGCAACCATAGACGGCTATGTTGATAAGCAGCTCTCAAAGAAAGACCTTATGCTAAAACATACATTTATATACTTCCCAAAATTTATAATTAAGATATAAGCAAGGAGATTCTTAAGGTCCTAGAAAAATGTGGGGCTGACCGTCCTCCCTCACCCAAAGTGCCGTAGTTCCTGGGTCTAACTACTCCTGTGCCTAAAAGCGTCCTTGGTGTCTGGCTCTTCAAGCAACCACAGATCTAGTCTGCGGTGGATGCTGTCGTGGTGAGACGGAGGGTGTCTTCTGTGTTCTTTGTCTGAGCTCTGACTTTCTCTGACTAAAGCAGACCAAATCATTTTTTGCTTATTGCTCAGCACAGCACATCTTGAGTAAGGGGAAGGGTGGACCCAAGAGAGGATCATTCACATGACACTCATCCACTCATCCGGCATGTAAGGGGGCCAGGCTCTGTGCTGTGTTTACAAACAGTGTTGGTCCCAGATCCAGGAGAATTTTCTTTAGAGAGAGACAGACAATAAACAGGGAAACAAACAAAGCAGTAGCTTCAAGTAGAAAAAGGCAATGTGCTGGTCACGAAGATGGCCTGTGATGTCACTAAGAGGGAGTGGTGCCGGAAGGCTGTCTGAAGGATGGCTTTCCGTTGAGACTTGTCAGGGAGTCTCAGAGTCATTTGCAAAACCTCGGGCAAAACAAGAGGCAAAGCTGAAGACTGTCATGCGAAAGAATTTCCCATGATATAACTCTGCGATGGGACTGGTGCCTGCCGTCACTTTTTTCTTGCTTGGTGGCTGCTCTGTAAGGCAGGTGAGGCCAGGATAGGCTGATGGGGCCGGCATTTTTCATCTCTTAGTTTTTGAGGCTGATTATTTTCCAATGAGGTCTTATTTGGGGGGAAATGCAATAGGTGCTGTTATATGAGCATTATATGCGCCAATTCATACAGTCTCCATGAACTAGTCTAAGAGGCAAAGCTCCTGGATTAACCACACTTTACAGAACAAGAAACTGAGGCAGGATGGTGTGACTCTGAAGCCCATTCTTTTCAACAAAAGATTGTATTCAAGCCTGGAAGTCATCCACATAAATGCAACATGGAAACGCAGAAGACCAGATGAGCTACATCTGTGAATAAGACAGGAGCCACACAGGAACCAAGCAGCTTCCTTGCTTTCAGATTGTTCTGCCTCTGTCCCCAACTATAGGACCTTATCTGGACCCAGGTGTCCCTGTCTGCATCCCAGGCCTTGTGGATTTCCTGGCCCCTCAGTCCCACCCAATCAGCACCTGCAGTAGGGTCTTAATGGAGCTGTACTTTCACTCCCAGAATAGGGCTCTGCATCCATCTCCCAAGGGCTCTACGCTCTCGGCCTTCAGCCCAAGAAGGCACCGTACAGGTGACACCAAGTGCATCACCTTCAGCCGTGGGTTCAGTGAGTGGCCTTGACTGTGGCTTAATTCAGTACACATAGCCAACAGCTGCTCAAAAAATACTTTTAAAGATTGCAAGGTGGAATAAATGTGAGATCAGCTGGTGTAAAAATCAATCTGCAATTATTTCCTTCTCAGAGACCTGAACCAGCTGAGATGTGTTGGGGACACTCAGGAGTAGGATATGAGAACAGCGTTCCTCAAATGCCTTTGGCCACAGCACCCTTCTTCAGGGGTGCTTACCGACGTACCCTGGAATGTGCTCTGAGAATCGCCGACCAGGAAAACTACTTACAGAGGAGGAAACAAATCCAAGAAGAGAAAGTGGCTGGCATGAGATCCATCATGTCTAGTGCTGGAAGCCAGGACTGCATTGCACCCCATCTGCTCTTCATGGAAATAGTGCCCCTATGTTGCCCCATGCACTTGGCACCCACCCCTGGCACAGGGTCCACCCTGTTATCAGATGCCTTAAAATTCTGGTGGCTGGACCAGAGATGCTTGGCTTTGAGGGTTACCCCACGCTCCTAGGAGCACTGAGTTCACAGTCCTTCCTCTAACACCCCTGGAGCCCTTCCTAGGTGCTGGGAGATTTGGAGAAATCATAAGCACGTTAGAGAGATGCCCACACCCTTTCTATGCCAGCTGCGGAGCAGAGTTAGTACTCGGAACTGCAGATGACACCTTAGCCAGGATGAAAGGGAAGGGTCGGAAGTGAGTGCTCTGAAGAACTCTCGCTGGGAAAGTGACATGATAAACGATGTATTACAATTTTGCTATCCATGACACAACACAGGGACACCGTGGCTGGGCTATTTCCAGGATGAAGGGCAGACTGTTGCCATGATACCACAGTTAAATGTTTGGCCTTTAACTACGTTCTGGATATTTTTCTTTTAATAATATGTCTACTAAAAATAATCAACTCTGCCGAGCTGAATTGTAACCATCCGATAGCCAAACTCCCAGAGACAGACTGCTAATGCATTAATGTCCATTGTCCCATATCATTTTTCCATGCATATGTAAGCATGTGTGTATTTTTAGTGTTTCTAGAAGCAAGATCACATTGGGGCCATTCTGCAACTGGCTTTTTTGCTTCCGGTGTCGTGAGTACCTCACCTGCACCTGGACTCCAGGTCTAGACACCATGCTGCCTACTCCTGACTCTGCTCCACAGATGAGTTGAATGCATTCAGCCTGTCCTCTACTGACAAGCACTCAACTTGCTTCCACATTTTCCCAACTTGAGAGACTTCTTATAAGAGGAAGAGCCAGGCCCAAAGTTCATGTTTCAAAGCCACTGGAGCCACCGCCCTGTGCCCGGGCAATGTGGCTTCCCACCCTGAGCCCGCGTGGTAGGCAGCCCCCAGAACTTCTCTATCGCCTCACATTCCGAGCCTATCTTTTCCTCCTCCTACCTCCAAGCAGACATCTCCCCAGAGTTGAGTCAACTGTTTTGACTTAAGGCCTGTGTTTCCTTTTAAAGCTTTCACTCCATAAATTCTGTGGTATTTCCTCCATGTTCCTGTGTTTAAAAAGTGCAGATGTCTAAGCGGGCCTGGCTCTCCGGGGAAGGTTCCCAGCTGCTCAGCAGCGAGGCTTTGTTCACAAAAGGTATCCTCGCTGGGTGCATTCACTCTGCCGCGCAGTACACTGAGCAAAGGGACAACGTTGTGTCCTCAGCACTGCATGAGGACAAAGACCTTTGACTTGTTACCTCGTTTCTATCCCAGGGCACCTCTCGGAAGAGGTAAGCACAGTTTTCATTCTTGGGATCCAGCTGTCTTCAACTGGATGTCCCAGAGCCATCCAAAACCAGACATTCAGTATATTCTGGAGACCAAGCTCCAGCCCCAGTCTTCTGGCTTTCAACCTATGTCTTTTCCACTAAATTTAAAGTCAGATATTGACTGAGTGTGTTCATAGTTCGAGGAGCTAGTCTGTGGTCATGATAAGGTTTGTTCTCATGCTTGCCTCCTTCAGATGCAGAGCTGTACAGGGATGGAATACAAGGTTGGTGTGTGTGTGTGTGTGTGTGTGTGTGTGTGTGTGTGTGTGGTCTACCCCACACCCTTGCAGAAGATACTAGGGCCCTTGGAAGACTGAAAACCTCAGCTACCCCAGTTTGGTCCAATCTTCTCAATGTCACCAATACCTAAAGAATTCTCTGTCCTATTTTCGTGAATGTAAGACCAAGTTAGGAGGACTCAGTAACACTGAATAACTGTGGGCACTGGGTATTAGGATTAGAATTCCAATTTACAAGACCCAGGTCTTGCCAACAAGGGGCTTGTCTTCCAGGATGAGGAAGTAGACTGATAATGACTAAGGCCCATTGATATCACAAACTATGTAAAAATTAGAGGAAAGAAGGCTAGTAAACAGGTTGAAACAATGGATGCTTGAGCTCAGACATGGCAGGCAGCACAGTGAGGTTTTGCTCAAAGGAATGGGAAGCTGGAAGAGAATAGGGAGGACAGTAAGAGACCCTGCAGTCACATTGTGCAAGGCATTGTGGGTCAGGCCAAGGAGTTTACACTGTATGCAAAGGTCAGAGGGAAGGCTCAGCAAGGGGCAAGACCGGGCAGCAATGTGATCAGGTGCGATTTTAGCAATATCCCTTAGGAAGCAGACTGGATGGGTCATACCAGAGATGAGGAGACCAGGCAGACATGTAAATGGGACACCACGGCATGAATAAGGCAGCAGACATGGAAATGGGCAGGGTGAAAGCTGGCTTTCAAGGTCACTGGGAAGGCAGAATCAGTGACATTTGGTTGCTGATTGAGCATGGCGGTGGGGAAAGGGGAAGTTGAGGACAACTTCAATTTCCAGTTTCATTGATGGAGCCCAGTATGATTCCCTGCAGCACCATAAGGACTTCAAGAAAAGAGTGTGAAGGATTGAGGCTTTGGCTCTTGCATGCTGAACACAAGGCCCCTGGTGGCCACACAGGGAAAGAGATTCAGGACATGGCCAGATCTATGAAAGTCAGGAAGAGAAATCTGAGAGAGGGGAGTAGTATTTGTCCTGAGAACCGTTTGCTTGTGGATGCATCAAAGCTGTACAATAATGCCGAATGCTGGGAAGTGGGCCATGAAAAAAAAAAACACTCAGGAGCTCAGCGTTAAAGGACGAAGCAGAGACGATCCTACAGAAGGATGCAGGAAGACAGAGCTGGAGAACCGGCAGAGGGGCCCACTTCACTGCTTCAAGATGTAGCTCTGTCTTTGCAAATGTCCCAGGCTCGAATCCTGCTCCTCCAGCTTTCCAGCTCAAATTGCCTTAGAACACAATTTAACTTGCTGTTTAAATCACTAATGGTTGTGGGGAATATGAGGCACTTTGTGTAGGCTGCTTGGCAGAGCTCTGACACACAGTAGGTGCTTACTATGTGCTCTC